AGATGTGACCTCCTGAGGTCCCTTCAACCCTCATTTTCTTTGATCCATCCATCCCTGGCATGTGTTTATAATGCCTCCGAAGGACTCCGAAAATTGCCCCTCCTACAGACGCACACAACCATGAAAACAGTTCTTGAAATGCACAAACAATGCAAAGCAGTGCAAGTCGACCAAAAATACTGATGTGTAGGCTGTTGTCTAAATCAGTTGCCAGGGTGTACGGTAGCATCTCAGCAGCTGTAGCAAAGTCTGATTGAGCAATCTCTGGGTTCTGCATGGTTGTTCAGCTCCAGAAAGACCAGGCTTTGGCAGACTGAAGGCTGCACTTACAACTCTGCAGGATTACCTTAATATACATCTCCTGTGACATCAGCTGTCAAAGGAGGACTACACAAGCACGTATCCTGTGTGCAGACCTTCTTGGTGGGATTCACTTCTGGGCACAACCTGCTGTGGAGCAGCTCTGACCTCAGCCCCGTTTTCTAGGGAGAAGCCCTCTCTGGGTTGCAATCTGAGATGCACTGAACCACAATCCAGGCACGCTTGATGTCATGTGTCTGCACCCTGACCGTCACAGCGCGTCGGTGTGCTGATTTACCTTGCTGACTCTTCACACGTGAGACCACATGCAGAAGGTGCTACAAGTTAAAATCTCTTGGCACCATTAAGCCTACTTACACTTTTGCTAACCAGTGTCTAAGTCAGAGCAATCTATGTGCTCTTGATGCCAATTGAAGTAGAGGTATTTCCTGTTGTGCGCCCCCCTTTCTCCCTCTTTGTTTCCTGACAGCTCTTACTTCTGCTCTCTCAGCTCCTGAGCTAGACAATTTGCATGAGACTAAGGAACACATTCAGAACTGATATGTAGTGGAAAGGTTTACGCTGATCTAAAGCTGTCTAGCAACAGTGAATGTAACACGACTGGTGAGGCCAGAAATGGGACAGCTGTGCTAGGAGACATTTCCTACCGCCTCAGTTGGAACCACCTGAATTTTTCTCAGGTGAGGCCAAAGGGAAATGCACGTTTCTCCACTCATCTAAATTCATCCTGTGACCAGCGAAACGTTACCTCTAGAAAACAAAACGGACTCAAAGCATAAGCAGAACACTGATCTAGAGTCATCAGAGGGCAAGTATTAAACCACTTTATGTTGTTAATCTACAGTACAATGTAAAGTGTTCCTTTTTACATTCCGAGATACAGTAGATTACATCATTTTAAATAATCACAGACATCTAAGTTCACCAGAAGTGGTAGCGGGGCCTTATTTACACACCCACAGTCCTGAAACATTTCAGGTGACACTTTATTTTCCACCCGTCTGAAATGATGTCTCTAAAGAGGTCGCTTAAAAATCTGATGGTTTTAATAAAGGGATATTGCTCTTTTTTCAGGGTCCTATAGGTATTTTGGAGAGTGTGCGTGTGTGTGAGAGAGAGAGATCAGTCTCTGTATTTTTTTTGTTCACCCTTTTTGTTTTTTCACATGCATGACATTCTGCATCTCCTTGGTTGGGGTTAGAGATGAAAAAGTTATTTATTTCTTTAACAATAAATCTTTCATTGACCATAGAAGTATCAATTAATGAAATAGAATTGTGCTAGAGAGGCTGGGAACCAGTCAAATGAGGTCATGATCATGTCCAAACTTCCTCTCTCATTCAGTAATACTGAACCTGGCTTTTAATGCTGATGAAATATGTGCAACATTGCAAACCTCTCTCATGTTGTCCAGGGCAGTTCTTCAGCATCATCATGCAATGTGTATTACAACTTTTTCTTTTGTGTGCTGTTAACAAGTTATGCTTCTTTCCAGAGAACTGATCTTCACAAGGAGCCTGTTCATCGTAAGCAAGTCTGTCTCAACTAGGCCGTAAGCCAGTCTTGCTGGACTCCAAGGTGAGACTGTAACGTCTGGTTCCCAGCCTGTTTGCAAATGATCGGCCTTGTTGGACCAAACTCACCCCCAGTTTAACTCTGCTGACTTTGAGGGAGTTGCACCAGAGATTAATTGAATCCACAGAGCCCGGCAATGTTTCTGTGCAGGTCTGGCTGGCTTAGCCAAGTCCTTCCCAACATGAGTCTTTCCCAAGCTTTCAAGACCGGTTGTGGGATGTGCTTATCATGATGTTGGGCAGAGCATTACGGCGCTTCTTCCAAGAGCCCAGCTCTCTCGAATACCTCCTGATCTGCCTGAACCAGTGGTGAGTCCGTGCCCTGTCACTGTCCCGGAACACAAAGGCCTCCCGCCTGATCTCAATGAGTTCAAACGTGTCGTCGCAGTCGGGATCTGCAGAAACGACGCAGTTACTCAGCCGCAAGGGCTCCCTGAGCAAACTGAACTTCCCGTTATTCTTGTCCCTGATGAGCACCAGCACCGCATCTTTCACCAGTCCCAGCTCGGCAGACTCCAGGCTGGACTCAGAAGCTCGCTTCATGTTGACCATGAGAAGCACCTGCATGTTCTGAAACTTCAAGGTCTTGCTGCCCTTTTTGACCCACTGGCCGTCCGGCGGCTGGGCCAGCTGCAGAGGCCCCTCCATCACGAAGCGCGTCTCTTCCCGCAGCCAGGTCGTGGTTTTGATGGCAGTTTCCCTCATCTCAATGTTGATGACTTCCCTCCTCTTCTTGCTATCCTGGCGGAAGGAGCGCAGGGTCCACGAGTTCCCTTCTTGCTTGGTTTTCATGTTGATGTGCTCCAGGTGTGACTCAATGCGGCACTTGGCTTCCCGTAGGCTGCTGTGATCTGGGTGATACTCGATGGTTGCTTTGATGATGCGGCTGAGCAGAAGCGGGTATTTGGTGACTCTCTGCAAAGGAGCCATCAGAAAGGACCTCAGGTTCATGCGCCGCAGTGCTGTGTTGTCGTTCTGGGAAACATTGAGGAATATTCTGCAGGAAGGTGAAAAGGGAATAATAATGAAACAACACTGCTGGTAGCAGATGGTGAAAAACAGCATGCAAAATAACAAGAGTGGCCAGGGGAGGATCCAAGGGGGATGCACTTGCACCCCATGCTTTGGTTCCTGCTCCACCTACAACTTAAAACCACCTGCCTGGCTGTGGCAGCAGCATTTTAGTCGGGAAGGGCTGAGGGAGTCGCTTCACTTCCTGGCTCACTGTCATCTCCCTGATCCTTTCTAAACCTCTGTTCCACGGGTGTTAACAACCCTCTCTCCTTCATAACAGGCTTCATGTTGCACCCATCCAGGTATCCTTTGTTCTGCCATCCTGCTCTCTGTTTGCTGCTCCTAGTACTGGAGCTGCTATTTCACAGCCCTGCAAATTGTTTTTAACTCCTTCCAATGAAGCTTTTTTTTTTTTTTTTTTGCTTCAATCTTAAGCTGCAAAA